CTACATCAACCAGTGGCTCTTTGCCTACGAGATCGGGGATTTATCCAGACTCCTTTCGTACCAGGTGAACCTTCCCGTGTCCATGGCCACAACCCACTCCTGGATGATCGCGCTGGGGTGCAAGTACGAGCGGGCTACGAAGTCTTTCTACACGGACGGCCACGAGAAGAAGGACGTGGTGGTGTACCGCGGCAAGTACATCGACGTGAAGCGGAAGCTCGCCCTTCGGCAACCGTTGTGGGTGCGAGTTCAACGAGACACTCTGACGCCGGAGGAGCTTCAGCGGCTTGACGGCATCAAAGGTCCGGCGGAGGAGTTCGGCGCAGAGGTTTACGATTGCGTGGTAGAGGGGCGCGAGTGCATCGAGNCGGCAACCGTTGCGGGTGCGAGTTCAACGATACACTCTGACGCCGGAGGAGCTTCAGCGGCTTGACGGCATCAAAGGTCCGGCGGAGGATTTCTGCGCAGAGGTTTACGATTGCGTGGTAGAGGGGCGCGAGTGCATCGAGTTCCACGTCGATCTCCTGCGGGACAACGGCTCCGTCGATCGATTCGACGATCTCCGTGCTGAACTTGNTTCAGCGGCTTGACGGCATCAAAGGTCCGGCGGAGGATTTCTGCGCAGAGGTTTACGATTGCGTGGTAGAGGGGCGCGAGTGCATCGAGTTCCACGTCGATCTCCTGCGGGACATCGGCTCCGTCGATCGATTCGACGCTCGTCGTGCTAAACTTGGACCGGAAGGAGGGCACTACAGCGTCCGCTTCGAAGAAGCTGCTGCTCTTCCATGCGAGCATTTTCACACCCCGGCCAAGTGCAAATGCAACAGGAAGGTGCGCCACATCGGACAGGACGAGAGTGTCTACAAGGCGTATGCACGCGAGGGCAAGGAGTGGGTTGTCCAAGGGGTACGCGGGTTACGTAAAAAAACCGAGGGCCCGGGAGAGATGGTGTCTGCCTTTCAAGATGAGAGGCACGGCTTTGGCTTGCCGTTGACGGACGACGTGCTGCAGGCGGTGAACGCGCGTCGCAAGGAGAAGGGCAAGGAAGTCCTGACACGAAGCCCTGGCCTGCGGTTTCTCCAGTACGGGAAGAACAAGGATGGATACTGGGGATACGACGAGTTCAAGGAACAGATCGAGGACGTCTTGGACGTCTTGGACGTCTTCGAACCCGACATGCAAGTGGTGGTTGAGATCGACCACTCTTCGGGGCNAAAGGTGCGCCACATCGGACAAGACGAGAGTGTCTATAAGGCGCATGCGCGCGAGGGCAAGGTGGGTTGTCCAAGGGGTACGCAGGTTACGGAAAAAAACGAGGGCCCGGGAGATATGGTGTCTGCCTTTCAAGATGAGAGGCACGGCTTTGGCTTGCCGCTGACGGACGACATGCTCCAGGCGGTGAACGCGCGTCGCATGGAGAAGGGCAAGGAAGTCCTGATACGAAGCCCTGGCCTGCGGTTTCTCCAGTACGGGACGAACAAGGATGGATACTGGGGATACGACGAGTTCAAGGAACAGATCGAGGNGAAAAAAAACGAGGGCCCGGGAGAGATGGTGTCTGCCTTTCAAGATGAGAGGCAAGGCTTTGGCTTGCCGTTGACGGACGACGTGCTCCAGGCAGTGAACGCGCGTGGCAGGGAGAGGGGCAAGGAAGTCCTGACACGAAGCCCTGGCCTGCGGTTTCTCCAGTACGGGACGAACAAGGATGGATACTGGGGATACGACGAGTTCAAGGAACAGATCGAGGACGTCTTGGACGTCTTCGACGACTTCGAACCCGACATGCAAGTGGTGGTTGAGATCGACCACTCTTCGGGGCACACAAGGCAGCGGGAGGATGGATTGCATGCGGGGAACATGAATGTCAAGTACGGGGGGAAGCAAAAGGTTTTGCGGGATACAGTCATGACAGAGGGGTGTTTGGGACCGGAAGAGGCGAAGATGTACCTCTCCAACGGCAAGTGGAGCAGGGAGTTCACCGAGGGGGCAGAGGTCTACGANAGAAGATGTACATCTCCAACGGCAAGTGGAGCACTGAGTCCACCGAGGGGGCAGAGGTCTACGACATGAAGCTCAAGGTTGGCGACACACNTTTGGACGTCTTGGACGTCTTCGAACCCAACATGCAAGTGGTGGTTGAGATCGACCACTCTTCGGGGCACACAAGGCAGCGGGAGGATGGATTGCATGTGGGGAACATGAATGTCAAGTACGGGGGGAAGCAAAAGGTGTTGCGGGATACAGTCATGACAGAGGGGTGTTTGGGACCGGAAGAGGCGAAGATGTACCTCTCCAACGGTAAGTGGAGCACGGAGTTCACCGAGGGGGCAGAGGTCTACGACATGAAGCTCAAGGTTGGCGACACACAGACCAGCACGTTTGCGGCAGGTTCTCCACCTCCCTTTTACGAGTGGGATGCGCCGCGCAAAGATGTGAAGGTCGCGCGCAAGGCTAAGCGCAAGAGCAAAGCGGGAGCGGGGGTTGGCGCAGGCGATGAAGGGGCAACTGATGGGGCTGGAACAAAACCTATGGATATGATTAAGGAAGGGTACGAAGGGAAGGCAAAGGGCTCGAAGAAGTACCTGTGGGAACGGGGATGGTGGAAAGAGGGGATGAATGCGTCAGTNGGAGGTTCTCCACCTCCCTTTTACGAGTGGGATGCGCCGCGCAAGATGTGAAGGTCGCGCGTAAGGCTATGCGCAAGAGCAAAGCGGGAGCGGGGGTTGGCGCAGGCGATGAAGGGGCGGCTGGTGGGGCTGGAACAAAGCCTAGGGATAAGATTAAGGAAGGGTACGAAGGGAAGGCAACCGGCTCGAGGCAGTACCTGCGGGAACGGTGGTGGTGGAAAGAGGGGATGAATGCGTCAGTGGGGATCGCTGACGAGAAGAACGTCGAGAAAGTCTTGCAGGCACTGACGGATTTTGAGAGTGAGAGGACGGCGCTGCAGTACTTGGTCGAGAGCAGGGGACACATACTTTTGTTGTCTCCGAAGTGTCACCCAGAGGTAGCGGGGGTAGGGATCGAGTACTCGTGGGGGTTTTCCAAGCAGAGGTTTCGGCGGAAGTACAACGACGAAGTCCCGAAGCACTTGCACGCCAACATCGAAAAATCGATGTGCAGGGAAAAGCATTTGACGATCGGTCGGGTGCGACGCTTCGCCCGGCGTACACGGGACTACTGCCGAGCTTACNAATGGAGCTGGTCGAGAAAATGCGCGACACCCAAAAGGCTCACCGCAACATACTGGACNGTGGAAAGAGGGGATGAATGCGTCAGTGGGGATCGCTGACGAGAAGAACATCGAGAAAGTCTTGCAGGCACTGACGGATTTCGAGAGTGAGAGGACGGCGCTGCAGTACTTGATCGAGAGCAGGGGACACATACTTTTGTTGTCTCCGAAGTGTCACCCAGAGGTAGCGGGGGTAGGGGTCGAGTTCTCGTGGGGGTTCCAAGCAGAGGTTTCGGCGGAAGTACAACGACGAAGTCCCGAAGCACTTGCACGCCAACATCGAAAAATCGATGTGCAAGGAAAAGCATTTGACGATCGGTCGGGTGCGACGCTTCGCCCGGCGTACACGAGACTACTGCCGAGCTTACCGCGAAACACAGCTGGGTGCGGTAGACGGCCAGGGAATGGAGCTGGTCGAGAAAATGCGCGACACCCAAAAGGCTCACCGCAACATACTGGACATGGAGCCCGGTTTCCTTGGCAAGCAGTGACCTTGGCCGGCCGGCCGGAAGGGGCGGGGTACATTGTACTGTAGAGAGTTACATATACATGTTGAAGATTGTATAGGTGTGGTTGTGCGCAAATATCGTGCGGTGCTGCCGTAAAAACCTGCTTTTTTGCCGGTCGAGTTGAGACATATTTGTTTGAGTTGGTGCACGCGCATTTTGGCGTCGTGAGCTTTTAATACATGTTTCACATCATCACGCCCAGTAGGTACAACTCATGTACGTCATGGGCTGGTAGGCAGCGTCAGTGTGGCTCCCCCCAACTACACCGCTTTCGCACACGTCTCTACGGTCCCTAGACCCCTCATNCGGGGTACATTGTACTGTAGAGAGTTACATATACATGTTGAAGATTGTATAGGTGTGGTTGTGCGCAAATATCGTGCGGTGCTGCCGTAAAAACCTGCTTTTTTGCCGGTCGAGTTGAGACATATTTGTTTGAGTTGGTGCACGCGCATTTTGGCGTCGTGAGCTTTTAATACATGTTTCACATCATCACGCCCAGTAGGTACAACTCATGTACGTCATGGGCTGGTAGGCAGCGTCAGTGTGGCTCCCCCCAACTACACCGCTTTCGCACACGTCTCTACGGTCCCTAGACCCCTCATTTTCCTACATAAAAGGTGTGCCCCTGAACCCAGGTTCTGAGGCCAGGACGAAATTCTGGATTTCCCGCGCTGTTTTTTCGAATTAGAACCTGAAATTTCGAGACGGCATCTGCATGAGTACAACAACAAAAAAAAAGCCACTGCGCCATTTGGATTTTTTTTTAGTCACTTTGTCCCAAAACAAGTATTCCCATAAATATTTGCAACAAAAGGGGAAAAACAAAATCCAAATGGCGCAGTGGCTTCTTTTTTTGTTGTACTCATGCATATGCCGCCTTAAAATTTCAGGTTCTGATTCGAAAAAACCGCGCGGGAAATCCGGTCCAACCGTGAAATAAGCGTCTTGGCTGGACCAGCTTGTAACACCGTTCATTTTGATCGGAACCGATTCAAGCGAAAACAGAGGCTTGCCCCGCGACAGCACTGCAGTGATCGCCAGGTGATAGGAGCCAGCATAACCCGAACATTTCGAGCAACGTTGATCTCGGAACGCTCTACACTAACACCAAGTCATTTGCGAGGAGTCCACAAACTTCCCCCGGGCCCCGATGATACAGGATAGATATCGTGCTGCTGATGATGTTGCCAGCTCGCGCCTTCTGATTTCAAGTCTGGGTTGTGTTAGTGAACTGTTTCTCCAATCAAAGCACAAGACACACACACACGCCCTTCGCTTACACACACTACAGCTACCGGTTCTTCTCTCCTTCAAAAGGAAAACACAGCTCGGAACACTCATTTTCGCTCCCCATCTGGTCCTCGCCGAAACCGTTCCCCGCTACACTACGCTAAAGCCTGCTTCATGCCGTCCGTACTCCACTTCCCTGCCCATTGCTACGATGTACTTCTGCACCGCCGTGTTCGACTTGACCGTAACCCCCACAGAACCTGTGTAGGTCAGTGGAGCAGACAAGCCTCACACCCTAGACAAGAACTATACATATCAAACCGGGCTACCGGCCCACGCTACTCATGCAATCGCGGAGCCATCGCCCATGGTAAGCCGAGCTCTGCCGCCACTAGAGCGTTTACCTACAAGATAACCGTTACCGACCCACGCGACTTACGCAAGCACGGAGCCATCGCACACATGATGACCTTCGCTCTGCTGCCTCCTCCTACCCTGAAGTACTTAGAAAATACCCTATCCTCTCTCTCGTGGATACTTTTTTTTCCAGAGCCACGGTTGTGACAAAGACCAACCCCAGCACACCTGGTTCTCGTTCAACCTCTACAGGTGCTTCGAGTTCACCTTAATACGTAGACCGCACCACCTCCTCTCCACCTCCCTGCCCAGGTCGCGAAACCTCTTGGCCCTTCGAAGCTACCCTGCTGCTGCTCACTGCGAGTACGGGCTGAATCCTCGCCTATGGTGACTTCTGGCAGGGAAGCTTAGAACAACAACAACAACAACAACAACAACAACCACAAAACGAAAACTGACTACTACTATCGGGGGAACGCTGCACCCACACACTGCACGCACTCAATCGACCTCTTGGCCCGTTAGGACCGCTGCTGCTTCACCGGAGCGCTGAAAACAGCGAAACCACGACAGCCAGACACGAGTACCACCCCCAGGTAGGGAAAGGCTAGCGACAACGTTTCGCGCTCCCCCCCTCCCGCCCACTCAGCATAAATACCAACAAATATTCCAAGAGAGCGCGTCCATGAACGAACGATGTGCTCGCTTTCGCTTCCCACTCCCGCCTGAGCAGCACGCAGCACACCAAACTACCACAAAGTGGAAATATCGACAAGACCATGTAGCCGAGTAGGAAGCACGCGAGTATGACATACGTCCACCCACACACACGCGCACACAACAAACAAAGGAAAATCATACCACTACGGCACGCCGGTGGTATGCATACCTGCCCTAGCCAGCCTATATCGTCACCCATCGACCCATCCCATCCACACCATGAATAGATATACGGCAAGACAAGCACTAAAACAAGAACATCAATCACGCCACAGCACCACCGGCGATGGAACCTTCTCCTTCTCCGCCACCTGACTACCCCCCACACACGCTCCACAGCACGGAAAGAGGTATCGTAGGTGTGACTGGAACGAGCGAATGAACGAACGGACTTGCCTACCCCACCACGTGCCCCAGCGCATCGGCCACGTCGGAAAGGGCCTCGCCGACATGAGAAGCCGCTTCGTTCACATTTGCCACCATGCAGCTGCACAAGGGCACCGCACGCAGGCACCGCAGGAGCTTGCGGCCGCGCCCTACCCGCGGTTCAGGTTCGGGCGCCGCGGGGGCGTTAGCCACGGGCTGTGCTGGCCCGGTACTCGCGGGCGCAGGAGATCCTGGGGTTCCGGCGTGGCTGTCGACTGGGTTAGATGCCGTAGATGCCGCTGCGGCGGGGGCGGGCGGGGCGGGGGCGGGCACGGCGGGCACGGCCACGGCAGGCGGGGCCCCGGGGGCGGGCACGGCGGGCACGGCGGCGGCAGCCGGGGCACTGGGGGCGGGGGCGGCCATAGCTGCGGCCGCACCGGGCGGGGCGGCGGCGGCTGCCGGGGGCGTGCCTGCGGGGGGCATGGCAGGGGCGGCGGCGGCGGCGGCGGCGGCTGCGGGTGTGCCAACGGCTGTGGGGGGAGCGTTGGGCGAGACCGATGCCCTTTTCTTCCTGCTCCTGCTCCTGTTCCTCCTCCTAGCCCAGCAGGCGAGGGTGGCTAAGACCCAGAGAGCGAATACCCGCATGCTCCAGGCCAACTGAGCATACGACACGCCAGACATTCGAAAGCACACGGCGGTGGCGGGGACAAGCATGGCGGCGGCGGTTACGACATGACGAGAATGCTAGCTGTGAAACAAGTGGCGCATTTTCTCCATGGGGGGAGCACGGTAGGTCTCGAGTGCATACCGTAGGTGACCGATTCTAACAAGCCCAATCGACCAAGAACGGGATGCGAAAAAAATCAAGCGATGATAAGTACGTTTTCGGGAAGCTCTCGACGAGACGACTCCAACGCTCCCTTTTCGACACCATCTCTGCCGTGGGGAAATCGAGCTTTTCAGAAACTCCCAGCAGGGTGTGTGTGTGACGACTTTACTCAAGTCGAGTCATGTACGGGAAATAGAACCCCCAAACAGAAGCTGCTTCCAGTGACATTGAACACGGGCGGGAACCGTGCATACTTACCGCTGTCGCCGCTCCGATGTTCGTGATCCAGCTGAACAAAGCCCATGTCGCATCGTCCGCGAGGTCTCCAGGAACGGAAGTCGTCTTACCTGTGGCGACATCGCGTACGTACGTTAACACACCGAACGGGCCGCCACTTGAGAACACCTCGTATATGGGCGAGGCTTGTTTCCAACATTGTTGCCGATGTACTATACCCCAACTGCAACTGTTTACATGGGTTTTAGTGTGGGCACCTTGACCAATCATCAGTTCGTGCGGCCAAGGTTCTTCGATTTTCGCTGTTCGTATTCAGGCTAGTCCAAGTTCGTAGCTGCTGCAATGTTCTGGAGTGATGGCGGCATGTTCTGTACAGGCACGTGGCGTGTCCTGCACAAGCGCGAGGCCACAATTTTGATGTGGTTCACAATGTACTCGAGTACAAAGGCTCCGTTGCGTTAAGGGATGAAACGGGGGGGGGGGGGGGGG